ATTTTTATTAAAATCTCTACATTATTGAATAAGGTTACATTGCTACTGAATGCTCGAAGTCAACGTCTTCTATGAGTATTTAAATTTGACCTAGTTTTGTAACATGCGTTGTTAGTGGTTTACCTCATAGTTCTATTCGATGGTCGATTTAAGTTTTCCTTGAATCATTATGTTACGAGTCTCGCTCGATATTTGTCGTGACGTGTGCCGCTATGTATGAGATCAACAATGTCAAGGCGTTCTTATGTCAGACTTACGTAAGATGTTTGACTAGTTGAGAAATGGGGGACAAGACGTAAAGATTAGCCGCAGCTTAATTTTACTACAAAGTATCCGTTTTTTTGTCAATCGTGTTTTAAACATAGCCGTACATTGGGATTCCCCTTAGCTTCTTATTTAGATCTTGCGCCAGACAATATTGGCTTTGGTTGTGAATCTCTTTCCATCTTTACATGCGTGTAATGGCTAGCAAAGATTGTACATCACATAAGCAACATGACTCCACACGAACAGTCCTTCTTAGAAGATTTATTACCTACTGTCTTATATCCGAAGAACTCGATTTCATTTTATAATTTTTGTTGTTATGGTATCGGAAAAAAACTCATAATTCGTACACGATATGGATAATGAAAACCAATTTTTATTTTCGAGGGGAAGGTATTTGATGTAGCGGGCATACTATTTTTTTTATGCGGCGACGAAGTTACTGGCGACCGCTAGTTTCTATCGTAATTATTCATTTGTGCTTTTAATCGCTATTGTTAGAGAATGCAATGTTTCTGGCTTATCTAACTCACGGAGTGTTCAGATCGGGACAGTTATAGGTATCGTTGGGCAATTACTCTTGTATTTATCAATTTAGATAAATCACTTATCGCAACGACATTAGCTGCTGTTGATAATTTATACACGTATTAAGCCAGATTTGATTTGCAAATTTGCTTGTAATCACGCAGAGCGCTCTCAGAGCAAAGAACGTGAGCTCGATTGTAATTATTGTAACCAGCACATTGCTGGTATTAAGTAATTTAATATGTTAATTGTAATTTACCGTTGTTGTTTTGTGTGCTTTAGATCGGCTGTTATCATGTTATTTGATTATTTTAAAGCTCATACATATTTAAATAATGTCCTGTATTTATTTGAAAAAATCGCCTTGGAATTATTGCTATTACTTATAGGATTTTTTTTGATATTAATTGTCTGTTTACTTTTAGTTATAAAGTCGACTAATACTCTCCTTGAACAAACTATTAATTTTAATAAAAAATGTTATGAATTTGCATGCATCTGTTTTCACTGCTGATACTCATCTTCTTGTTTCGACGCCAATATAATTGTTTTATGTCCCTGTAAATTATATTTTGCCGCTCGCAGCTTCTGCATTTTTTGCAATGATGTCTGAACGCGATTGTACTTTATTGCATGTTCGTACGTTGAGACAATGCTTGATTTAATGATGTCGATATTAAGCGACTGATCGCTTAACATTTCAATAATTTTTATTATAGTTTGTAAAGCTATGGTTAAATTGAATAAGTTTTTTAAATTGCATTTTTTTATATTAAATAAATTAGCGCTTGACCACGATCTCAACAGATGTTAAGTAGTTAAAAGATGTAACGCGCTAGCTTAGCAATTGTAATTTTAACGAATCCTTGAATTATATCTATTTTATGGCGGTTTGCCAGTCAGATCCTGGTCTTCATATGGCTGAACGCCAAAAATGCTCATCTTCAACCATTTTAAGTTACAAGCTAAGAAAAAGATTTTATCTACGAATCATTAATATATTATAATTGAATTAAACATTCCAAATGATATTGTAATGTATTTGATATAGAGTAGTAGTGATGCGCGTATAAATCAGCAATTAATCTCGAGGGCGCGATGTCATCGGCATCGTACCTGCTCACTCACCTTGACCGCGCGGTGTCCTCTCACTCGTAGAACCATAGATGTTTCGCATAGTGATGTACTCTATCTATGTACTTATCGATAAAGATAAGAAAATATATTTAAAATTATCAGAATTAGGCGCACGGTGCAGTATCATTTTAAGAGAATATTCTAGCCTGGAATGAGACACGATAAAACTAAGAAGATTTGAAAATACATTGATAATTTTGTATGACTATAAAACAAAAAATTCTTAACATTATTTTAATACATGGTCGCGATTTCCTAAAATTTTGATATTTACTTGCGTTTTTTCGTAGGATTTTTATTGAACAAATGATTGAATAAATACATTGAGCTGATAATGTTTGCATCTGTTTAGTTTTGTTATTCCTGCGGTTGTTTTATTTGAATGTTGCCACTTACATATGTATGTACATATTATTTTCTGAATTCGCATCAATTGTGAGCTGTTGGGCGGCATAATTTAACTTACTGTGACCATGAATTTTTAAAGCTTGTCCCTCTTTGTCCTCTCAATATGTTTGTATTGGAAAATATTAAATTTGTATTACAACGCAAATTGTTACTGAAGATGTCATTCCATATTATCTTTATAGATTAAATTGTTTATCGAATTACTTTTTCATAATAGACATCTCTTTCCAAATAATTTATCTTGACTTTTCCATTGTAATGCGTACATACTATCTCATGAATTTTATATCGATGTAAATATGTCCTTTTGTCCTTCTGGTTTATGCATACAATTGTGTTTATGTATCAGTATAATTTTTATCATGTATGCGAGATATTAAGGTGGGACGACATCGGGACGGTCGACCATTTTGTAATGTCAGTGAATTGTAAGTGAGGACACGGAGTTGGGCAATTCCTCGTTTCCTGCCACGTGTATAGCATGGGTCTCAAATTTGAATATATCTTTTTTTATAGTTGTTGTGTCGACACGATAGTTTATTCAATTTATGCCAATAGGTCCGACGTTCGAGTAGAATGATTCATTGCGGCTCAATCGCGGCGAGATTAAATAAATTATTGTCGACGTATCGCATTGTGAATGGACTTTGCGTGCGTCTCGTCGCGACCGAGCGGGGTTGACTTTCATATAACTTTGTCGCCAATTAGTTTGGTCCGGACGCGAGCTCCAGACGGCGATCGCTTATAAAGGGATTTTGTGGTCCCGGCTCATTTCATGTACGTATGCGGTTATGCTACTATAGTATATGTCGAAGAGTATCAGACAATTTATGGTTTTTGTTCTGTATGTTTCGGTCCTCAAACCAAATCATTGCAATGCATCTCTTTAGTGATGGAAGTTTTTTTCGTGTCATAAGACGATTATAATTTTAATTTTGTTCGAAGACATTATAATATTTTACTTTGAATTTCTTATAGACTAGTATAGGAATATACTTATTGCTATGTTTTAATGCTAATAAGATTAAGCGGAGATAAAATCGCTATCTGTTATTCAATGAGTATATTATACAGGACGTAGAAAATTTCGGATATCTGTTTTTATCCAGAATTTTTATTTAAATAAAAATCTATAGTCAAGTATTCACTGTTACCATGTCATTCTATGTTACAGTCGTAAAACTTTCCTATTAGATAGACTTAATAAATTCCTTTAAACTTCCACAAGTTCACACATGTACTTCTTAACACTGCTTCCAACTTTGATGCTCGTGCTTAAAATATTTATTTTTTACAATCCCAATTGAAAGGGAGAAAGTACCACTTTCTGAAAGTTATTAATATTCATAAAATATTAATAACTTTCAGAAAGTTTTCTATTCCATCTCATAAATATTAATTTTTCATTCGAAAAGTTTGTTTTTGGCAGAGTCTCAAGTAGATTTCACAAAACAGCTCCGCTATTTCTCGGTAACGCCCTAAAGTCGTTGCGAGCAGTCGGCTAGTGCGTCGCTTATGATAAATAGGGCACAGTGTTTAAGGTTGTCGGGGCAGTAACCCGCTGCACAAGTGGCCGGACTATTTGCCACGTCCCGTTATCGCCGCGATAGGGATTCGACGATAGCCTGCGTCGACTTACGTGCGTTTATCTCGACACTCAACGTTCGTTTCATTTAACAATAGACGTAAAAATAATACATGCTCGACCATCACGATCGAGTTCGGACATCATCATAGGTGGCTGCTATTGTGACGATAGGATTTTTATAAGCGGTAGGCTCGGTGCAGTAGCACGTCGCCATCGTGTCACCGGTGGTCATCGGCCCCAGCTGGTGAGTTTCGCAAGTCCAGTTACCCATACGAGTCGAACTCATTAATATTCCACGGCCGATGTTATTGCGAACCTAGTGTCGGCGTCCTACGGTACGGTATTAGCGTCAACGTAGGTGCAATTTTTTATGCCATGCCTTTTCTATTGTATATAAACCCTTGTATTTTCGTTGACGCTAGTGATTATTAACGACTTCATTAACATATTGTAAAGCATCTGAGGAGAGACAAATTTGCTTGCATTATTCAATTGCAAGCTAAATGCAGAGGCCAGCTTAAAAAGCGTCGCAAATGAAACAAAGACATTCCGCGGTACCGAGGCGAGAGGGAATCTTCCGAGGAGGGCGGCGCGCAGACAGCTTTCGTCGTGTGTAAATGCGTGGCGCACAAAAAACGGCTAGGCGGCCAATAAAAACCCCGTCGGGAGAAGTCGAGGGGCGGGCTGCGGGTGCAGTGCGTCGCGCCGGCGGCTGCACGGTGCAGTCTCTCTGCGCCAGGCTGCCTGCGCGCACGCAGCTCTAACACCCCCTGCGAGCCGGTACTAGCATGCATACGACCCCCCGAAATATGCTATTCGCCCGCGACCGATAACTCTACCAATTTTCGCGATCGTAGACTACTTGAATCGGTTCGGAGACCGTTAAAAGGACACGGTCGCGACCGACGGACCTTTGCGTGCGTGTCGTTTCCGCTTGGTTAATTTTGGTTTCTATAGGGTTGTAGTATCCGTCTGCCGGCTAGCGATCGGTGGCGATGGCGTAAGTGTTTCTATGGAGCCGCATGTTCGATACGTCTTCCGACGAGATGTTGATGTGATGTTTTTTTCACAGAGCGGCGGTCGCTGCGAAAGTCTCGAACGGGCAGGCGGGCGCCACCGACCCCGCCGTCGAAGAAGGCGCTATGAAAGGAGTCGAGGCGACACCGGAAGAGCAGGAACGGTTAGCGACCGGAAATAACAATGGTTCCCTCGTGTGCAAGCTGCCAGAACCGGAGGAGCCGGACTCGTGTGCTGCGTTTCACTCGACGCGCATATTCATGTTGGTGTTCCTCTCGGGATGGGTGCTGCAGGGAATGTTTCTCACGTACTTTGTGAGCGTAACGACGACCATCGAGAAGCTATTTAAAGTAGAGTCGAAGACAACGGGGACGCTACTGGCCGCTACAGAGATAGGGCAGATATGTACGGCGCTATTCCTGACGTACCTGGCGGGGCGTGGGCACCGGCCGCGCTGGATTGCCTGCATGATGCTCGTGCTGGCGGTGGGCGTCATCGGCTGCATGATGCCGCACATGGCCTACGGCACCGAACTGCTTGAGGTGCACCTCGACTCTCACACGGCCGGGGCGGGCCCCGTCTGCGCGCTCGACAAAAACTCCTCTCTCATCAAATGTGACGACGCCCAAGTGCAAAGCACCAAAACAAGATCCTCAATCACGGCAGTAGTTATACCGTGGCTATTCATCTGTTTGCTCGTGGTGGGTGTGGGACAAACCGGAATCGCCACCCTGGGCATTCCTTACGTCGACGATAACGTGGGGAGCAGACAGTCGCCACTATACATGGGTAAGTAGGATTGTATATTTATTATAGTATTTAAAGAAAGAAAAACGATAACGAAAATATATCGCGAACACGATCCGAGCGCAGTCATGTATAAATATGTTGCACCGATAAATTCAGTCAGGATTGCACGGAAGAATCGCCATACAATATTAAGTTTATAAATCACTGATACCGCCCACAGCACGCCTACATACTTACTGTCCTTTGATACTCATACGATACTGCTGTTACACATTTCAATTGTTTTTATCTTACTTTTAATATTAATATTACATGAAGCGCATTATTATAATATTAAAATAGAGAATATTTTTATTTAATGACTATTTCACACGTATCTATGAAAATCATCATCACATTGAACTGCTTAAGTTACATAATATGTGTATTGTTTTTCATTTCCGAGTATGAGAATCATTATGACCACTACCTTGGTTACTATATCCCAACACCATTTAATAGGTAACTTGTGTTGGGTCCAATACATTCCATTAATGTCGTTCAACAATACTTAAAAATTTTAGTGTAGCTTCCAAATAGTATAATATACTTCACAATGTATCGTTTCCCGCAAAAATTCTAGAATAATCTAGTCATTGCCTAACATTGTGTTCCTAATCAAGCCCAATTGACAATTCCGGCAGTTGAGTATTAGGTTATTAGGGTTGTCCAAACATGAAGATCAGAGCCTTTTGGTTCTTACGACTTTAGTTTATTAACAAAGAAAGATGTTTACTTCAATTATTATATTATCGTAGAGTACCGTAATTTCCATTTCCCAGTTCCAGTTTTTAATATCTATGTAAGTTAATTATATTTAATTTTACAAATATTGTGTTTGCACATTGTACTATATCATTTTGTACATACAAGTTAATCTGTAAATGTTATTAAGATAACAAATTATTTACCTAAGTTAGTTCCACTTCCATAATAAGCATTGGATATTTTTCGTGTAATAATTACTACTTGTAGCTTAACTGCAGTGAAAAATCCACAGTTGGACGTAGACCTTTCATAAGATTAATTACAAATCATATGATGTCTGTCTATGACATATTTTTGTTCAGATTTTGAAGGTTTAGAAAATGTAAAGAAAAATTATGGTTCTAAGATATCCAATCTTCACTCCTCAAGCATGACATGCTATAAATAAATAACTAATGTTGTGAGACGCATGACGTTGTTTTAAATAATTAGTAGCAGAGGTCGAGCGACCGGTTTTTCGTTATTGTAAGGATCCGATGGGTGTAGGTATACTTGTGCAGCTTGTTTTGTCTGGGCGGCGTCTATTGCGCGTTGCACGCTACATGCTGCAAACTGACCACTACACGCTGCACGCTGCACTCTACCCACAGCAACTTGTACGTTGCATGCTGCGTCCTGCACGCTGCAAACGGCCGATAACGTTGTGTTACCTTGCTTGTAACTCTGAAAACATAACCATTTAAATGTTAATTTTAATTTAGTTTCTTTTAATTACACACTTTTGAAGATAGTCCCTCGTACTCGTCTTTTTAGAAGACTTCAAAAAGGAGGTTATCAATTCGACTGTATTTTTAGGTTTCTAGTATTTTTTGATAGTGAAACGCAGTAAAACCGTACATTTTATCGCTAGTCGCGCGTAGTCTATCTGAAGAGAAGACTTGCTTTAGTAGTACGTGTTCTAAATTAACAAAATACCGCGCCATTTTAAAAATGAAAATGTATAAAAAGTTATATTAACATATTCGTTTTAACCGTTCACACGGCGCGGTGGTGGGTGATGTAAAAAAGTCAAAATGTGGCGTGCGTGCGCCGCGACATGTGCAAGGCCTACGTGAGGGTTGCTCAGTAAAGGTCGCACCACACTGGGGTGGCGTGCTAGTGACAATCATTAGCATATCTACTACATTATTTTATTGTTTATTTGTAATTTTAAAGTTAATTTGTGAGTTACATTGATTAAGCTGTGTAATATTATTATTATCGGTATACATTTTTTATGCTAAATGTATTTTAAAAATACCCTCATATAACAAATTTTTAGGAAGACTTTATTATGCAGTCTTCTTAATGCAGCTTTTCTTTTTATTAAAGTAAGTACTACTTTGTATTACTACTAATACTTTACTGATTATAAACACGCTTATATACGTGATCTAACACAAAACAACATTACCGCTTTGTTTTCGTGCTACGTTAGGGATACGCGTAGTCTATTTTAGAATAGTTATAAACTAGTCTTGATCCTATTTTCAAATTAACATTACTCACAAGTTAAACAATCTTTATTACGTAATCTTTTTTAAGTAATGTTTTGTATAATAGCAGGTGTGACATAGTCGGTGTAATAGGTCAGTGTTAATGCTAGTTTCACACGAGGGCGTATTAGGTTATGTTAGAACAGTACTGCTATTATTTGTACGTACACCACCGAGACAGGAGAGTACCGTTTTATACGTACTGCACTGTCAACTGCTCTGCCTCACTGTTTAGTCCTCGTGTGAATTTTTATAAGATCAATGCGAGCGTAACCGCGCAAAGCACCTGCTTCGTGACCGCCGATACGATCTGACTCTACCTCGTTAATCATGAGAGATGGAGGGCAAGTTGCTTTATATTGTTAAATATTTACTTAATATTTATTCTTTAATATTGTAAAGGTAAAAAATAGTATTTTTTCGTTAACATTACTGCAATAAAATATTATTGAAAGAACAAAGGCACACTAATTTTAGGTTGAAATATCCACTTTTCAAAACGATGCTGCTTGATTCCGATATCATGTTACCGTTAAGGAATTAACTTAGTCACTTTCTGAGGCCGTTGCATGGTTTAAAATTTTATATGGCTTCCTAAGAATGCAAGAAGCCCTCTGTAAACCTATGTAAGCGATAGTCATTGTCCAGTCCCGACGGACGACCTCCATAAGCGAGAAACTCGGGTAAGAAAGAATCCTCTAAAAGCGGAAAAAATATTGCGATTTTTCGGACTCTCGCTCATGTTAGACTGTTTTACGTATAATACGTCACATTATAAATATTATGTAGCATTAGTCAGTATTACGAAAATATAACAGTTATAAAAAAAATATCAAAATTAAATTAGACATTTGATGTGTGACTTAAGTAATTAGTTTATAATATATTATATATATTTTACTTTTAAGTAACAAAATTATGTAATATACAAGTTAAGTACATTATGTTAGTGCAAATCATTAAAGGTTTATGCATGTTTTTAGCATTCCTATCTTTATCTATGTAGGTCGATCAGATCCGCTGTAAGTTATGTAATTAATTTTCTTATTGACAACAGTTATTGTATATATATAATTAATGATATGATTTAATTTGTTAACCTTAATTAATAATAACGATGTATTTATTGACCTAAATTAATGTATCACACATACTGTGGCTGATTTATCATAACTCGTGATATGGGTCGCTATTGTTTGTTGACTGTTCCTACGCGAGACATTTTACTTTGACTTCTCTAATTCAATCTTTTAATACTTTATAGCTCAAGAGGTATATTCCACGTTGCCAAAGAAATTTTGATACCAATCTATCGATGCTTGGGAATATCCAGAGGATTTCTTGAGAAAGAAGTAAAGACACTTTGTGGTTATTATTATGCTAGTAGAGAATAAATTGACTGAGTTAGTGCGTAGTTTTCGTTATATTTTTTATAATTATAAAGTTTAAATTTAACTATAATCTCTAATCAATCTTTTCAAAGGTTATTTGACTGTTCTGAGCTGACTTCTATTTTGAGATGACTTTCGCTCGCCGTGTTGCAAAATTAGTGGATATTTTTGAATGGAATATTCTATTGTAAATGTGCATAGCAACAATGTAGCAGTGGTTTACCTACGTATTGTTACCGGAGGAGTAAAACTGGTGTATACAACCTCATACTTTTCTTAGAGAAATTCTAGTTTAACTTTCACTTTCGATTGTCTTGGAGATTTGAAGCGGATCACAATTATTTTTAGCTTTACTTCCACCTAGTAATTTCTATCTATTTTAGTAAATTACTAAAATAACTATTTATAAGGAAACAATTCAACTCAAGCAATTACTTCATAGTATGTATCCAAACTATTTTTTTTCATCCATATTTCCTCACGCCATATATTTGCCCGCGGTACCATCCGCGCGGAATAGCCTATGTGTTCTTCCAGGCTGTTTTCTACATCTATGCCAAATTTCAACGAAAGCCATGCGGCCGTTTTGGAGATAACTTCTAACAATCCATCCATTCATCCAAACATTTACATGTAATATTAGTATTATAAGATTACTTAAAAAAAGTATTGAAGAACATCAATACGACACGAGCAATAGTTTTATTGTGCATAAAATGTCGTGGTATGTGACAGCTATTTCAGTAGTGTTGGTGCATTTGTGTCAGTGGGCCGGGACGTCTCGGTGCAGCGCGATGACACAATACTTGCCACTGTATTTAAAATATTACATCTAATTTGTTCTATCTCAGATTATACGACGAGATGCAAGCCATGTAATTTACAAGTAGAATTTAGTGTAACGCTAAATTGATGTCGTTAGACTAATTTACTTGGTATTTATTTATTTGGATTTAGTTTGAAGGATATTTCTGCTACTGATTAAATAGCTACACAAAAGTTGTATGTCCCGCTACCCGGGATCCAATCCGGATTTTCCAGGCGTCGTGGGCGGCTCGTTCATTTTTTATTATAAAGAAAACTTAATTGGACATGTTCTTTTTAATTAATGATTACCTTAATTGGACAGTTTCATTCCCATGTTATGTAACTTATTTGAGTATGTATTTATTAATTTGACTCAGACTTTCTTCATGTCTTTTAATTCAACAAAATTACACGAAATAGCAATTGCTATAAAACACCAGATCTCCTTAACATTTTGTAGTAGGCGCTATCATCGTCGTCGTTTGAATCATGCTCTATAATAAAATATTTTCCGTAATTAATTAGATATTTTAATATATAGGTAAAAACAAGAAATCGAGACAGTGTCGTTATATTTCTAAACAGGTCTTGATTAGAGTTTTTGATGAATTTTTCCTCAATATGAATCACAAGTTCTTTGAAAGTTTAGTTTCGGAGTTTGAATTCCACAAATTGTATACGCAACCAGCAATTTGTATCCGGTGCTCTACTTTCTTGTGGAGAAGTTAACAATAGAGTTAAATAGCTTTATTATTTAGTGTTGGAGTAAGCCAACATTGATATATATGTCGTAGTATAGAAATAGAAAAATATTATGTAATTCTACGGTAAAAGATATGTTATATGGGTCTTTTAGCCAATTACTACAGAAGACCAATGAGATTATATTTGTGACATAAAATTAGACTTATTAAGCTTCATTCTGATTAGATGGAAAAGCTGCTAAAATAGCTTGATTAGCATTGGTAATTGCGCTAAAGTATAAGGATCAGTAATTATTTGCGATGCAATTTTTAATTTAAAAGAGAGAATGACAGTATTATTTTATGTTTCTTTTGTGGATAATGAGTGTATAATGTACAATGAATCCCGCTTACGTATGCCGTAGTAGACGTGAATGTGCAATTAGCATACGTAATATGCGACAGATTACAGCCCGGCGTGGCGCAGTGCACTTGTGCAAGTTTTTTGCGAGCCTATCGCGTTACAATGTAATCGCTCGCTGCGCCACTTGGCGTAGGTCAGTTTCCCAACCAGCGGCCATTGCAGAGATTAGATTACCAATGACAGATTAGATATTGGGCTTGATGATATGTGATGCGTGTACATTGCAGCCAAAGGTGATTGAATCGATGTTAATTTTACTTTTGTTTTATTTCGTTGTCTTAATTCTTCTACTAATAATATTCTTATTTTTAATTGTTTTAACCTCGCGTTAATTTCTATTCTCCCAATGTATCTGCGTATTATTACGTAACTGTAAAAATATTGAATTGTTCTTTCTAATCACGTCCATACTCTCTAGATAACAGAGTAAGGACGGGATTAGAAAGAAGTAGGAATTAGAAAGGAGTGGAAATTATCGCTTTTACGGTGTCCAGCAAACAGCGGCAGTAGAAATCTGAAATTTGCTAATCTTCTAATATTATATTATAAATGCGAATGTTTAGATGGATGGATAGATTAGTTTGTTTGAAAGTATAATATCTCAAGAACGGCTAAACGGATCTCGCTGAAATTTGGCTTAGATGTAGAACACAGTCTGGAAGAACACATAGACTACTAATTATTATTTTTTAATCCCGTCCGAACGGACTTGCGGGCGACAACTAGTCTTGAATATTTAAAAATACGGTAATAATTTGTATGTATTATTTTAATAACTTTTTACTGCAATTTTTAAATAAAAAAGGTACACAATTTGGATGCGGTAAATGTTGTTTGGACAGTTGAATAATCAGTACATACTTTTATGTCTATTCATAAAATATGTTTGCAAATTAGTCATACTTCCAGAAACATATTTAACATGTTTTGAGATCAATGACCTAGCCATTATGACTTGTCTATTCGTAACTAGCGGTTGCACTCGGCTTTGTGCCATTGAAACAGGAATCTTTTTAAGCCATGGCTTATGTATCGATTTGAACATTAGCTGCTTAAGAGTGAAGAGTAAACAAATTAAAATCATAATTGTCTTTACGTCATGAGGGCTCCATTCTTTCAAATTTTAATAAGTCTTGGATAAGGTGGTTGTCATGAAGTATCAGTTGGAACATACGAAAGATGTTGCCTTGCAATCTTGTGCGTCGTAAGGGTTGGTAGAATGTTGCGTCTTTTGACTGACGATGCATTGAAAACATCGATGCTTATTACGCGATCAGCGGTTGTAACACTATTATCGACAATAATACGTCATTGTTTATTTTGGTTATACAAATATATAGTAGGTACAATGCACTACTGGATACACACGACCGATATGAAAGGCAACAGGACTAGGACAGATAACCTTGCCGCGTCCGCTTCTGCAAATAAGGTCGCGTATGTCGCAATCGCTAATATATTTAATGCAATAATTTTATTTAAATCTAGCTATCGCCCGCGACTCTGTCTGCGCGGGGTTGAAAAACTGATAGTAGGTTATTCTCAGACCCAGAATATGCATATAGAATTTTAAAAAAATTGGTCAAGCCATTTCCAAGGAGTATGGTAACTTATGACACGATAATTTTATATATAAGACGATTGCCATTTTAGGACTGTTATAATCTCCTTATTCTTTAGTCATGACTATATCTTTTAAAATTATGATGCTTGTATTATATTATCTATTGCACAGGATCTTATAAACCTCTATAAATAATCGAGCATATACGGAGGCATTCACTCGTCCTCGCTTTTCCTAATACGGTGTAATGCATGCGCACTAACATCGAATCAATGTTAGAATATTGTGTTGACTTGTTAAACACATTTGTTTTATTATAATCTATTGTCCAAATTAGGAGATTGGCATGACATTTGGTAGTTCGCTATAATAGTAGGGAAAAAAATCGGAATGATGCATGTCTCTTAGCTAATGCAGCAAGAAGGGATTTAAAAACACAAATTACGAAAGAATATAAATTATGATATAATCGTTAATTATTACTTTATTAAACGTAAAACATAAATTTGCATATGTATCGTTTTAGTAACATTACGGAGAACATGTATGTGATTAATAATGTTTTCCTTTACAATATTAACTTCATTCATTTACTGACATGAAACATTGATATGTTCAATATTAATTCCGAGAATATATTCCTTTAAATATTTTAGTTTATTTTTTTGTGAATGACACAGACTTTTAAAATATTACTTGTTTTATTTCGATTCGCGGGTTACATTGGAAATATGAATGGATTCAATATTATGTCGATGGTTGTAAAAGCAGATAACATTTCCGCTCCGTTACCTCTCGGAACATGTTCCAAGATGGCGCTGGATATAATGATGCAATTCGTCATTTTCGACAATCCACACGAGCGTTAATTCGGAGATGCAGCACTTGCGCGCAAGTCATGATGCATCGGAACCGGTAAGGACGGTTATACGCCCGGCCACACTTACAATTTAACCCGAGCCACGAGTCATTTTAAACCTTAAGTTAAATTTGATAAAATTTATATTGTTATGTACTCGATTGCTGTTAGCGTGTAGGTTGCGAGGTGAATAAAAACTTGAATCGAGCACCGAGCGTTGTTCGTTTTGAAAAACGATCCTGACGAGACGATTATTTATTACAAAAGCGTATGATGATATTACATATAGTAACATATAGTTTATATTCCTCGCAGTGAAGAGCGCGCGACTTCTCGTTTGGGTTTTTGGCAAGCGTTGCGGTCGACTTCGAGGAAAGATTAACATCAGGCCTAAGTACTTGATTGTTTTTCGGTCACTCACCCACCCCGAGTATTCCTTTGTTAAATTTTTATTATAACATGCGGTATTTCGGAAACTGGGACACTTGGTTGTTGGGACAGTGTCATCGACCTTCGATTACTGTCCGGTTTCGTTATCTCCCTTCAGTCTGTGCTTCGGACGCTAGCTGCGCCGGCGCCGGTCGACTGAGATTGAAGCGACTGCCCAGTTAATGCAGCAACATGATAGCACGACTGTTTAATTGTAGTTTGACAAAGTTAACTATTGGAATGTTAAGAGACACAATTACCAATAATTTCTTATGTACGGGCTAATGGCCCTCAATTGGAACTCGCGACGGCCCTCTGCGCCCTGTCTGCTGGGGGAATTATGATCATTTGATCAAGTTTATTAATATTATAAGAGTGATTGAGGCTTTATAATTGGCTGCTTTTATTACAAAAATCTATATATTTATTGTCAAAAGTGGAAAAATTGTGATGTTAAACCATTATTATTCACAATGTCTATGTTTTATGTTTTCATCCAAGGATTTCCAAATTGGAATTTTAAACATGATTACTGAATACAATGATAGAATTATTTTTAAATAGATTCTTATGTTTATAGAACTTTACAAAATTTAATTTCTTTTTAATCGGCCGTTCCGCTTGAGATTACGAGTAACGTTTAAAATAAGTATGATAATTAAAGTGATTAAAATAAGTGTTTTTATTATAAGCACGTGTTTTGCTGCAATGTCATAATCTTGAGGAATGTTATCAGATCTTATATCACTAAAGAAGATATTTTATGATTGTTTCATTTCTTTTTACGAACGTAAAATATTTCAAATTAGGCTATAATTCTTGGTGTCAGGTACGCAGGATTTAATACTGGTTGGTCGCAATAATTCATAGCCATTCACTCGTCCTTGCTTTTCCTAATCTGATGTGAGGCATGTGCAAAAAGTTTGGAGATTAGATCGAGAAAAACATTTGCTATAAAATATGGTCTCGATTTCAGTACGCAGTAGACACAAAGTTTATTATTATCTAAATCAAACCAATAGAAAACTTATGTCAAAGGCGCATTCTATTATGTATATGACATTATTTTTTTATTTGACTGTGTGTTAATATTTCTTTTCTTTGTTAACAGCGATCACCATCGGTATAAGAGTGATCGGTCCAGCTCTTGGCTTCATGCTTGGCGCCCTCTGCACCAGAGTATACGTGGATCCTTTGGCAGACCCTGGATATGATAACACTGATCCACGATGGGTCGGAGCTTGGTGGCTAGGTAAGTAATATCGCTATTTCATGGCGTACTGAAATTGTCTTAACACGTTTCGTGCTACTAGTATTTTAGCGATATCTTAGTATGTTGCAAACATTTCCCTTGATTTGACTGGACTCGGTAGAAGAGTCGCCGGCACTGAACGTGTTAAACTTTTCGTAACTGATGACACGAAACAAATTGTAGTAAGTTAATGTTTTATAACAGTATTATGTAACGTATGTGCTGAAATGCAATACAGTCTTCGCAATTATCAGTCAAATTACGGAGAAGAGAATATAACAACTTTATTTTCTTTGTTCATGATTCTTAATGTAAAGAAATTCTCGTGTTTTCATTTTAATATCTCTAATCGTCAAATATTATTAACTTTTCGACAATTCCTTTTACGTCTGTGGACTGGAAGTAATTTGTTAATATAACTATAGCAGCGTTTCAGAATGATTAAACGTTTTTGCAAAGTCATTGCCTCGTGTCAATAACGAAATCAATTTGTTATTTCTTTTATTCAAGTAGTACCTTTTTATACGAAGTAACCTTAAAGACGATAAAACTTTGTCGAATTTGAAAACTATTTATCGATTTCCTGTCTAGACCAAAATATTCGACGTACAAATTGTTTTTTTTTCTTTTATATTATATCTCAGACACGATTATTATAAGTCCTTGCGATGTTATTTCGAAACAAAGAACATAATATGAATTTGCTTTTGTGAATATATTGCTTTGTAGACTTTCATTCGACAATTTTTAATATGTTATATAATTTATTTATGTGTAAATAACTGCAATAAATAGAAATTAATAAATATATTTAATTCAACATAAACATATTAAAACCGTCTACTTCAGTACTTGCTAATAGCAGACGCACTATATTGAAGTACTAGAAACTAAAAGTGTGAAAAAATGTTGCATAGTTTACATTATAACGCAGCACTTGCTTGTTGTAGTCATAAAAGTAAATGACTTGACTATTAAACTAAGATTTACACCAGTATAAGAGAGTTTAATGTTCTATTAATTAACTTGTCTCTACTTACATAGTTGCGTCCACCTCCTCCTTCGTCATAATGCATTTCGTTCCACGCAACTTTATTTAGTGCGCACTACAGGAATACCAGAACGCTATGCCTTTTTTGTGTAAAATGAAACGTAACAAGACGAGAATAATATATGTAAACTCGACAAGTTTATTGACTCTTAAGTTTTATGTGGCTTTATGATCGTAAATACGTATATTGCAGCGGCGCTGCAACCATTTGTAAGAAAGGTTCTCGGTTAAGTATAAATCAGAGGCGGAGTCGAAAGTTACTTGCGAAATATACACCATTTTATAATTTAACACCGACGATTAATGTTGCAAAGTTATTATGAACTTTAAAAGTAATTTAAACATGTCTTTAAACGGTCAGTACCGTTCAGTCGAGAGTTGGCATGCCGGCTTGTGACATAGTATGGAACAATGGTGCGAAACTCCGCTAGGGCAATTTAGCAGCATCGTTGCCGCGTTATTATGTGCGTTGTACGGGCGCAGGGCTTCTGTTCAGCGGCATTCCATCGCGGAACTGCCATCTACCGTTACGTAGCCGTTCGCCTCGATGGATTTGCGCGCGAAATTCGCAAAGAAAGCACACGCGTGACCTGGGTACCAATCGAATGCGTGTGCCGGCCCTCGCCGTGAAATTTGCATTTCAACAACCACAAAGACACTTCTATTGCTTACCGGACACGGTTCTAAGTCCCGCAGCGAAGACAGCCAAATGCCCCAAGTGGAGGAGTGCCAAGCGTGCTTTGACTCGCAATAAAGAATTCGCAAACACTCATCGAATGGTTTCCGTGTATTTCCTCATTGTCCGAGCGCTATAAGCTTATGAATGGAGCGTTGAATTTTAATAAATAACTCGACAGATCTTCTTTTACTTGTGCCGAACTAAATTATCGAAATGGATTCAATACGCTCGTATCGTACTTTGTAATCGTTTTTATCTGCATCGAATTAGTATTCAGTGTCGTCCGGCCCATTGGTTTAACTTTATAGACCTATAATTTGTATTGTAGGCTCGATTTTATTACTTATTTTATATGATCCAAGTACATTGCGATCGCGAGTCGAATCTTCCAACGGACTCGTTTAATTAAACGGTTGCTCAGCGTCATGGGCACAACACGACAATCTTTTGGAAACATTAATAACGCCGCGCCGCCGCTTTGAACGTCTTCGTAGTGACACAACGCATTGTGTAACACTAAATTGTTTCAATGTATTCGATTAGTGAGCAAATAGATCTCATACCGCAATATGTAAATGAACCGGCAAACGTTTCCCGCATTCGCTGCCAGTCAGAATCGACCACTTTGTGATTATATCTTTAAGCAGGTGGTATTGTTTAATGTTACTCTTGCTCACAATTGATTCGGTTACAACAAATTACATTATTGCTAAAACGATAGGCTCAAATAATGACAATTGTTTATGATTTAATTTTGATACTAAGAGTTCTGCTGATTTTATTACGCACTCAGAACATGTTCTTTCCCGGATAGAGTAGTGAAAAGTTAAACCTTATCCAAATAAAACTCTACAAAAAAGGTTTACAGAACTAGAGACTTTGAGTTAAGAAATAAAAGATGTGAGCTGGATCACTTTAGGAATTACTGGATTACAAAAGTATTATACGATCGCATTTAAATTGTGACTTGTATTATACGTTCGTTACGTTAAATATAGTCTTTATAGCAAACGTAACAGAGTCCTACAATATCCTACAATGAATCTTGTTATACGAGAGGTGCAATTTTCTCTCGGCTTTCGCTTTTCGTGCGGCTTTGTGTGACGCGTGACGCGTGACGCTGCGCCGGCGCACTCGGTGTTACATAACGCGGCTTACATCAGGCGTCGCCGCGGCTAAAATAAGCCCGCACCGCTCTATCCGTCGGTCACGGCCAAGGCTGCGGCACGCGTACAATTATGCCGCCGCCAGTAATGAGGATTTAGTGGGTGGACACTTTTACTTTCGGCCCGGCTTTACTTGATGACCTTTGATATGTCGCCTCTATGTTGTGCTCTTTAAACTAATCTGCATATTCGTTATTAAAAAATGTTTAGAATTTTTGTGTTTTCCGTTGGGCCGATTTATTGGTAGGCCTATCGGCACAACGGGAAATACACTTGGATTTACAAATTGAAATATTTGAATAGTGTTCAGTTACAAAAACCCCAATTTCTATTTATTAAAATTTCCGAGAGAACATTTTCAACTTAGTACTCTAGGAAAATGAGTTAGACGGATAGAGATAATTTAAACGAAATTAAATAAAGTCAACGAAAGAGATATTTAAAGTCTTAAAAATAATGTAAGTTTTTTTTTTCAAAAACGTTCGTGGTTTTATGTATCGTCGTTGTACTTTAACGTACTTTTAATACGATGTAACAATAATTTGTTATTATTAATTAGGTTTCTCAACAGGCGTATCTCCGTCATGTAGATAGCAGTGGCTGGGGCGACAATGGGTCCTTTGTGCGCAATGTAAACAGCTCATAATCGCCATGTAGTGCGTCTAGCGAACGCCCTTGACTGTGCCGACCGGGCGACCTTGTAGTCGCGCAAATGTTTTCTGTTTGAATCTATCGCAATAAATGTTTTCGGCCATTTCAAGGTCAGTGCGGGGACCAATGGGCTATCGAAACTATCCGTTTTTTGGAAGCATCCGCAAGCTTTTAGATAAGATGTTATTTTTTTTAATTCATGTCTTCCTTATCGGACTTCCAAAGCTTGTTAGTCAATATCATTATCGGGAGAGCCTATGACATTAAGAAGTTTGACGACTCCATTTGTAGGGTTTTTAATTTTTATTCGGGATTTGACAAAAAGGTTATGCAAGTGAGGTTTATCATATTTCCATTACATTCGGGCAGAGCTGCATTTCGAATTCGTCATGACAGTTTGCTTACATTTTAACTTGATATTTGGAACACAAAATGAAGGAGAGTAATTAAATTCTTACAAATAGCCCCATAGTTAGTTTTAATTGTCTAAAAATAAACTCCGGATATACAATAGGATTCTTCACCTCAGCGCGCCCCCTAGTCTCCCAGGTAATTGCTATACACCTTATCCACTGTTCTGAATAAACAACGCTTGCCTGCTTCCAATGTTAGCCTCGTATTTTATTTGTTCATTAGCATTTTTTTTCTCGAAGCCGATTATAAAAGTTTCTTAGCACGTATTCGCGGACGCTATGTACTGAATTAATTTGATTCATTATTGTACAGATAATGGGCACTAGATAATTCTCGATAACGTATTGTACAAATTTAGGGGCCAACTCACTATGATTAGCGGATGTTAAAAATATTATCATATGCTCGTTTATTTGATAAACTTGCGATTATTTATTTATCCTTTAGATTACATAAATGGTGTAAATAATTTACGTGTGACGACACAATTACAAATATAATATGGGTCACGGAACAACACTATATTTTTTTAATGCCTTTCTTTGTATTATGTTTCTTTTGAATTAAAACACGTTAGCTGCCAGAATGATTTTTCGAAAAACGATATTTTTTTTAAATATTGTCCAAAACCATTTGAATGGGGCCTTTCGGGTCACGCTGTATACAAAAATTCGATTAAAAAGCCACAGCGAGGTGTTGAATGATAGTATGGCTTGTCGGACACATAGTCCGATACGGCCTGATTGAAACATTAGCTTGTCGGACATATAGTCCGACATGGCAGCTAACGTGTTAAAGATATTAGATAATGTTTTTCACACCATTATCCTTCAGCAACATGTCTGGAATAGGCAATAGAAGCTTGTTACAAGTGAACTCTCTGACATGTATCAAAACAAAATTGGCAGTTGAAATCGTTCAAGTCGCACATCGCGCCTCTTCACGCAATCATTTATAAAATGGAAGCAATCTTCAATTATTACGTCACTGAAATCAATTGATTGTAGGTGCGTCTTACGAGATTTGCGTGAGAATTTTCAATAAACATTTCTTTTTTACATCGTATTTATAGCTTTGATTGAATTCATCTTCGTTCCGGATTGTTAAAATAGAAATAAATTCACATTCGTTCGCGGATACGAAAAATTAATGAATAAAATCTTGTTTTTAAGATTTGTGATTAATTAAAGTACGTTTGCAGGTATGGTGGTGATAGCAGGCTTCGTAGTGATCCTGTCTATCCTCATGTTCTTCTTCCCGCGACAGATCAAGCAGAGCCCTCAGCCGCTGCCCAGAAAGAAGAGTAAAGAGAAGAGTGAGCCATTCTTTAAAGGTATGTGAAAAATTACACGAATGTGAATGTGATGTAGAAGATAGTCTGGAAGGACACAGTCTACTAATTAAGGTTTTTTATATAGCGCGGACGGATCCCGAGCAAAATCTAGTCTTTAAACATGACAGCACAAGCTATTAATATCATCATTTATTTTTTTATCTATACGTCCTAAAAAAGTAGAAAAAACTTATGATTGAAGATTTTTACAAATATAACATTTGTCACGCCAAAACCAGGCTTTACAGGAATATAAAATAATTAATTAAGTGATACTCTTAATTTATTCATATGTAATTTGCTTCAGATTTCTTCGCGACGATAAAGCGTCAGCTTACGAACGACATCCTGATGTGGCGCACGGCGAGCTCGGTGCTGCACTTGATGCCGATCAGCGGGCTGGTCAGCTTCCTGCCCAAGTACCTCGAGAAACAGTTCCGGCTGCCCACACACGACGCCAACCTTGTCTCGGGTGAGGTACTACGATGAACACTGCATCTTGATAACATACAACCTGCCACACTCAGAGACGTTTTATTATTACACCGGTTCTTTAGTGTAGATTTCTCATAGTAAATTTTCAATTATTCCAATATATGTTGGGTCATCCTTAACTTAGGTTGATTTCGAGCCTCTCGCTGATGACGAACGAATGAAATCTACACTAAGGGTCTGCACAAGTATAGTTTTCACTCAGTGTGGACTAAAGGTTTATAGATTTAATGCAAGATGCAAGAGTGCAGATACCTGCCTCATCATCTGGTGAATCAGACATTCGGCAATGTAAAGCGTGTCAGATATAGGTTTTGGTAAAAACTTTATCGTGCACGCGGTTTTCACGCGTTTCATGTAGAGATGTCGCGCAGTTCCGATTGTGAACGTTTTATTCCATGGAAAAACCCCTTAGAAATGGTCGTAAATATATTTCATAATAATTAATTCAAAAATAAAATGGAAATTTTTGAATAAATAGATATTGGTTGTTTATGGATGCTCAGTTTAAATATAAATTCTTTCCATGTTGAACTATAAATAGTGAAATTATCTTCAACAATCATCTACAATGTTACCGTTATTATTTTCAGGTCTGGGTGGTATCCTGATAATGGGTCTGGGCATCATAACATCTGGTGTGGTGATACTGAAGCTGGTGCCCACAGCGCGTCAGGTCGCCGCCTGGACTGCCGCCTCCGCAGCCATGTACAGTGCTGGTCAGTTGTAACACTTTGTTGTATAAATAGTCAGATATACTTTGACCAGGAACAAAGAAAACATCATCATCATTATCAGCTCACTATACGTCCCCACCGAGGGGCTCGGAGCCTACCCTAAATTACGGGTGATTAGGCCATAGTCAACCACGCTGGCCAAGTGCGGGTTGGTTGACTTCACACATATCTTTGAATTTCTTCTCAGATACGTGCAGGTTGCATCACGATGTTTTCCTTCACCGTAAGAACCTCGGATAAATGTACATATGTAAATCGGAAATGGAAAAACACATTGGTACATGGCGGGATTCGAACCCAGGACCTGCAGATTGCAAGTCAAGTGCTTGACCACTGAGCCACCGACGCTCACAAAGAAAACGTTCTGAACTAATTACATGTAATGGTAACAGAAATTTAATAAAGTAAACGTTGAGATGGCTTTGACATTCCTGGTGAGATATAGAATGACACAATTCGTGTGTACAGGTATGGTGGTGCTGATGTTCGTGAGCTGCCCCGAGGAGAGTTTCCGCATGCTGAGTGAGAGCGGCGTCACCAGCAACCTCTCCTGCAGCGCGAACTGTCACTGTGACGGCGCGCCCTACAGCCCCGTCTGCGGACAGGTTCTACTATACACTATATCTACCCTAATACACAAACAACATAAAATACATCCACGACTTTTATCTTTACCAAATTAAATACAGTAATATTCAAATTCTAGCTCATAATTATTTTAGCTATCGCTACGTAAAGGAGTACTTGTACACTTCCCCCCAATAGTCAGAAAAAACATGCGCTTGCAGTTCTCGAGCCGCTATAAAATTTGAATCTTATTATACCCCGACTTAACAGAAGATTGTATGGCAGTGTATTTTTTTCCATATTTCGGATGAATTCATTTTTTAAATTGATTAAACTTTCGTGAGAAATTACAAACTAACGTGTAAACGAAAAAACACGTTTTTGTCGGGTGTTGGGCTCTTCATCAGGGTGAGTAGGGCTGGTATTATAACGCGTACGCGGCCCTTCGACTCGACTCACTGCAGAACCCCGACGGATTATAAACTAATCGGTGTCGGCACCGGACAAATACGAGGCTGTTTAGCCGTTTCTATATTAGAATTTATTTAGTTTACAACTTTGTATGTTATTTTGAGAAATAATTTCAAATATAATACAAAGTGTATGTTTGCATATGTGTGACGTTGGTGTGGATGTGGGTGGTCAGGACTCGTTCACGTACGTGTCGGCGTGCCAGGCGGGCTGCGCGGCCAGCCACCAGCTCGACAACTCCACCTGGCTCTACTACAACTGCTCCTGCATCGAGGACCATGACCGAGGGCAGAAGGCTATGGCCATGTAAGTATTCACATAAACTACATCGCACACAGTGACCAGTTAACCTTTAGTGTTACATTAACATGTTATTTTGACAAATTCCCCGCACAGTTGGTTGCAACTATGTATTTACGAAATCGTCATATAAACGCCGTATAAAAAAGATATAGTAAACACGTAAAGTTTGACAATTTATGATTTATCTGTGTCATACAATGTTGCCACATGCAAACTTTTAATTTCTACTGTTGTCAATCTATTCGAAAATTATTGTTTTGTCCAAACATAGGCCGATCTAGATGGATTTAGATCGTAATTGATGTATGCGTAGATGTATGAATGTAGAAGCGAGAGAGCTGTGTTAGGACCGTGCCGGACGGAGGAGGGGTGTGAGTTATGTTGTTCCATCTATAGAAAAGTAAAGGGAGTTCGTGTATTGATTAGTATGTGTTATGTGCAGTATCGAGCGGTACGCGATATGGAACACATCGGAGGTGTTGGGTGTGGGGGGTGGTGGCGGGGGCCTGGCGGTGAGCGGGGAGTGCGGGGGACCGTGCGCGCAGCTCTACGTGTTCGTGGCGATCTTCGCAGCCGCCATGTTCATACACGCCACAGGAGAAGTCGGCGCTGTCCTGCTCATCATACGATGTACTGACAAACATGGTATGTTCTATATCAAAGAATTTTATGGCTTAAACAAGTAAATATCATTTAACAAATAAAGGAACAGGCAAAGTGAATCAGATAAAAGGGTCTCGACAGACAGACAGATGGACGGACAATACAGTGATCGTATATGGGTTCCGTCTTTTTCCGTTGGAGGTACGGAACTCTAAAAAGAAATTACGTCAAAAACGTCTGTCCTTTACTTCTAAATGTATGTCTGTATGTTTTTAGTAAATAAGAAGTAAGTATACTAAAATGTAACATTGTATGTGTAGACAAGGCGATGGCGATGGGCGTGATCCAGTTTGCGATAGGCGTGTTCGGCAACGTGCCCTGCCCCATACTGTTCGGTGCCGCGGTGGACGCCGCCTGCAGACTGCGCGACGCAGCCTGCGGCCTGCTCGGCGCATGCGCATCATACGACAACGACAGTCTCAGACATCTATATCTAGGTAACACACACAAATATACTCTTGTGAGAGAAAGAGACGAACGAATATGATAACTTTGTCTCTTGTATCTCACTCACCTTCATATTTTACTAATCGTTGTTGTCTAAGAAATGAGGATATGTTGAATAAAAGTATTTTCATCTCAGAAATCACCTTGCTTAAACGGATGTATATAAAATGTACTGTTGAATACTTGCAGGTCTAGCGGCGGGGCTGATGTTCCTCGCGTTCATAATGGACATGCTGGTGTGGAGCAAGGCGGGCCGCATCGACATGAACCCCGCGGAGACGCCCGACGCCGCGCCCCTCGCCAGGCCCCTCGCCCCGCACGAGCCCCACGCGCCCCACGAGCCCCTCGCACCCTACGCACCCCACGCACCCCCCGACACGCAACTCTGACGCACGCACACCTACGAGTCACACTTCTGAACCATTATCACCTTAAACTGAAGGTAATAAGGTCCATTATACTTTGCACTATGTTAAATGTGTGAAACTGAATACTAATAGCATTTAAGCTGTACTGTATGATGCCTGGTTTATATTAAGCCAGTACAGTTGGACAGTAGTGCCCAGCGCTGGCATGCAACCGACATAATGAAACCATTAATTATCGCCAGTGACCCAAACAGTTCACGCCGGCCAGCGCTACTGTATTACTGTACTGGAATAATGTATCGAGGTATAGTGCTATTTTAATTCTGGCCATACTATAAGTCTTTTATATGGGTTGTCTCTTGCACGGAGATTTAAAAATGCAATCATGCTGACACTTCTTTTAGCAAAATTTTACTAAAGTTACGAGACCTTAAGTATTTGTTATACGTATTTACGTAAGAATTACGTATAAAAATACATAAATTGCATTGTGCAATATATATTAGTTACGCAATTATTACATTTTGACTGTCAGTTTATAAAATACTATATGCGTATGATTTTTATACAACATGAAATAAATCAAATCTTTTTCTACAAATTGAAACAAATATTAAACATGGCCAGTTTTGATTAAGAGCACTATTTGAACAAACAAGAATTGATAGTAGTTTTTTTTTTAAATAGTTACTCAAAAAATATTTCGTCACAAAAATAATATAAACTCACGACCATAACCCAGAGGTATAGGCAGAGACCACGGTTCTAAATTTCGAGACTTCAAATAAATAAAATTGCATCTTATACGGAGATCCGTATGTGATCTTTATGGTTGAAATATTTTTTAAGTAACATGTTACGAAAAAAAAAAATATATTTTAAAAATCGAATGCAATTTCGAGTAGCACTTTTTTATTGCATGTAAATAATAAATGGCTAATGCCATATGCCAAAGTAGTTCTTATTCATCACAACAAACATCACATATTTCAATGCATAATATTTTACTCGTAATAATTTTTTGAAAAATCACCTTAATTATATTTTTTTTTTAATTTTTTGTGCATTTTTGACATCACACGATTTTATTGAGTGATTTTTTATGCTCAATAATAAAGTCATAATAAACAATTTATATAAAAAGTGCATTTTTTAAAGTTTTTTACGAGACAATGATCAAAAATCACAATAGATATAAGGGATGTTAGAATTAAATTAAAATAATTCTCTGATCACAAGTTATTTTTTAATTTGTTTTAACGAATAATAAACAAACATAATATAGTTAAAATAAGAAATGTGCCTAAATATTATATATATCACTTTATCCCAGGACTGAGTTTATTATAAGGCTGGGCGCGCAATATATTGTTTAAATTTTTTTCTTTCATTGGATGTGTTCAGATCTTTTTTTGCATTTAAGTATAATAAATCAATTGTGTTTTTTTATTTTTTTATTTAAATAAACCGGCAGCTTTGTATGTCACGGATGTAATTTGAATTTCGTCAGCTTGGAATCGAACTAGATATTATATATTAGAATAAACTGTATGAAAATTAGACGTATTGATTAAAGTCTGGTTTTCGTTTTGATAATTGTAATTATTTATAAATATCATTTAATTCAAAAAAATTATGTCAAATCAACAATATGTATTTTTACGGTCCGTTTTAATTTAATATTGAACTTATTAAAGAAACAAAAATATTAGTTCGAATTTAATAGTTAGATCCAAAATTAATATGTTGGAAAATGTTACACCTTATTTTAAATGTTTAATCCACAATTTTTTTACTTTATAATATTTCTAGTTCGATTTTATATTGTCGAAGTTCCCAAACGTTCTGTGACATAAGTAAGACAGTACGCAATAAAACCAAAGTTTCGTACAATATATTGCCAGCTCAGTTATTTTCGGTTATTGCGAATTACATGGCTAGTGATTAGATGTTTATATTAGCTTAGAACAACATTTTTTTTTGTATCATTTAAAATTAAAATACAATTGTAAATATATTAAGGTAATAAAACAAATAATCACATAATAATCTATGTAGGCATTTTTATTAGGTAATTTTTAATCTGTTGTATTTTTTATTTAATATACAATTTCTTTTAAAACTACACTTGAGCTGTAGTAGTCATTTTTATTTCATCTAAGTTATGTTATAAATATTTTTCCATTTTTTTTAAACAGATTGTGTATTAAAATCGCAGTTGTACACGAGGTTTTGATATTAAATTATCGATTCTTTATCGAATACATTCGATTGACGAGAAAAGAAGTTGACCCTTTTACCGTGAGTTTCTGAAACCATTTTTAAATATATCGTTATCTCTTCCTCATTAACTTTGTTAAAACAGAGATAATATTTTTTAAACAGTGATTTTTGGTTACAGAAACCCACGGTAAACTATAATTTCTAATTCGATTTCATTTTAAATACTATACCTCTTTGGTCGTCCATTATAATGATAGGTTTTATTTTTTATTGATTTAAAATATGCATTTCTGAGAAGAAATTCAAAGATATGTGTGAAGTCAACCCGCACTTGGCCAGCGTGGTTGGCTATGGCCATCACCCTTAACTTAGGGTAGACTCCGAGCCCCTCGGTGGGGACGTATAGTGAGCTGATGATGATAATGATGGATTTCTTGTCTACATCAGTTCTCGGAATTTCCTTAAAACTTTGTAGAACAATTTACGAATTAATATAATATACAGGCAAAGTTTTATTCATAAAAATGACTTTATGGCTCTTGTGTAATATATATTTTTTTTAATTTTATATCAAAGGCTGGGTCGTGTGTAAAAGAAATTTAGTATATACAATTGGTTATAGATAGTTTTAAGTTGAGAGTAAACCGGGATCACAATATGTTTACTATAATCTGTGATGATTATATCACTTTTACAATGTTTTTTTCATTAGTGTGCGTTTCCACTGTTTGTCATTTTGACACATATTGTCTTTTTTTTTCCAAAGATAATATATGTTATGTCCTTTCAGTGGAAATCCAGATTTATACTGTTTTATAATAGAATAATCTTATTTTGTTTTGCATAATATAGCATGTTTCTATGCATGTTTTTTTGTATGGATACTGTTTAACGATTTAAAAAGAAATTACGCTATAGACTGAGTACATGAAATAATAAAATTACAATTTACCATTGAAGTAATTTAAATAAATTTTTTAATACTTTATCATTTTGTACAATGTCTCTCGAAAGGTGCAAATTTTGTGCAATTTTAGACAAAATATATATATTTATATAATTGTTTTTTTTTTACATTTTTTATTATGAATGAATACGGTAATGATTTTTAATAAAATTTCAATGAAATTATATGCTTATTGTAAAAATTGTTAATAAATGCAATGATATTTACGAAAAAAAAAATCACAATTTTGTCGCTATTTCATTAGCTTTAGTGAATTTTTAATCTATATTTTTTCTTATATATTGCTATCAATGTTTAGGTAAATTTATTGATTGTTGTATGTTTTTCATTGTATTGGAATTTCTCTTTCTAAATATTGAACACATTTTTACTAGTCTATGACTTAGTTGTAATGAATAATACCTCTGGATTTTAGATATATTTTTGTCTGCTCTGGTTTGATTCCGCTTCTACTGTTAATGTAACGTTGTCTCTATTTTCTCAAACGGAATGAAAGGGACGACGTTTTTATAAGATATGCGGTTGAATTTCATCGTTAGATTAACTCATTGATTTTTTTTTTGTAAATTTAATTATTGTTTTCTACGATATTTCCCGTTTAGCCGATTCATCTACAGATCAATCGGCCAATCGGCATTGGGCCGATTGAATGCATTGAATGCCTAAAGAGGAACACTCTTTTTAAAATATATAAATAATTGGCTTATGTATTGGAGTTTTAGATATATAAAAAAATGTTTTCAAACAACAGACATGAGTTATGACAATTTTTATTCGCATCTTATAACTTTTATTATTCATTATTTAAAATTGAAGCTAAAGTTATGGTCACATGTGAATATTTACGAAATTAATTTAACCCATTAGTGCATAACGTTCGATAAATCGGACGCCAATAAAATTGTTTTAGGAGTTATATATATTTTGCTAATCGTTTATTTTTTTAAACAGTAGTGTAATATATATTTGAAATGGTAATACTGTTGGTATGACATTCCGGGAAGCGATTTATCGGACGGGCTATAAAACAGAAGACAGGCGTCAAGTGGAAGCAATTCCGCGTTTCGTCTGATGAGTGTGCGTCCCGGAGGCCTAATTTAGTCCTCTTACCCTTCCCACCCTTTTTCTTATAAGGAAAGGATGAGAAGTGGAACTGGACTTTCCGGATGAGAGGATGCAAGGAAAGGGAAGATATTTTCTTTCTGTGCATTGTCTCCTCCGTCGATTAAAGGTAGGCAACGCATATGCGATTGCGTATGTCTGTGGGCAACGGTCACTTCGCTATTTCAGCGATTTCGGGTGGCCGCTCGATCGTTTGCCATCTTATAATATAAAAAAAATCTAAACTTACATATTGTTTAAATATTTTATACAATTTAATGGTCAAATACACTCGAAATGATAAATATATTACAGTGATCATAATGAAAAAGGTGTTAATAAACTTTATGCACTAATGGATTAAAAAGCAATACATTATCTATGGAAATTAATTGTCTATGGTTACTTAGGCAAGTTTTGTCACAGTTCATTTAAAATAATGTTTTCAAAGCCAGTTTTTTTTTAATTATAAGATAATTATAATTATTGTATATTTTTACCAAAAATACGTGCATGTATTCAATATTGTCATTTAGATATCAAATAGTTACAGTTTTATAATTAATTTAATTATAATAGTAATTAAGCGGAATGTTTTCGGCCTGGTTTCTATTCCGGTACTGCTTTTATCTTGTACATTTGTCAATTTAAGGTTCTGTCTAGATTTGTTACTGTGACATTGGTCACATATTTTTTTTTTTTATTATTTGTAAATAAAAACTTTATTGAGAGAATTGTTCTTTTATTTGAATTTTTATACGGTAAAATTTAAAAAAAAAATTATAGATCGAGAAGGATAACTGACCAGTTGGCTTGCATGACTATTCGTGACAATCTTCTTTATGTCATCGTCAATTATGTCAAAATTAGTATGACATTTTTGAACTACTTTACGCCCGGTAGGTGCAAAAGTTAATACTAATTTTGATGCAAAAACGATGGCGATTGTCAAAAAAAATTCGTGCCAGACCCACAGGTGGGCATAACACAAATTAAATTATGATAGCTCACTAGCGCCCTCCGCTTCAGTTGGTAAAACATAATAACACACCTCAAATCGTGCTTAGTACTAATATTATAAATGCGAATGTTTGGATGTATGTATGGATGGATGTTTGTTAGAAGTCATCTCCAGGACGGATTAATATGACAGATTAGCCGGATCGCAATGAAATTTGGCATAGTAGAACACATAGACTACTTACTACACTGGCTGTTACCGCGCGGACGAAGTCATGGGTAACAGCCAGTGTTTTATGTCTCGAACTTGTTATTTGAAGACTTTTTTATGTATTGACATTCGAGATATTGTGTTATCGTACAACAAAGTCACCAGTCTAGTAACCCTAGTAAGTACAGGTCAACTACATCTACATCCACAAAAACGCAACCATTAATCGCCACAAAACATTCGAGTTAAACCGAAGGGCATTTTTTCCTTCCAATTCAAAATAAAACGCACATTTACCTTAAACCTTAAACATTGTTAATCTCTGTACATTCACCTGTGAATAATCGAAACAGTAAATCGATACAGTTTTTTAAAACAAGGAAATAAAAAGTACTGGAAGTTTTATTACTTATTTAGTTGCGATGATGATGTAATTGTTCTAAGAAATTGTGACTGGCGACTAATATGATCTACTGACTACGACTATCGAAGCATCGACCTTGTTATTGAGAACAAATGAACTCTACACCTGTACAGTATTGTTTATTATTCAATTTCAATTTCAACAATTTCAATTATTAAGCGTCGGTGGCTCAGGGGCAAGCACTAGACTTGCAATATACAAGTCTTGGGTTCGAATCCCGCCATGTACCAATGAGTTTTTCAATTTCTGATTTATATATGTACATCCGACGTTCTTACGGCGAAGGAAGACATCGCGATGCAACCTGCACATATCTGAGAAGAGATTCAAAGATGTGTGTGAAGTCAACCAACCCGCACTTGGCCGGCGTGGTTGACTATGGCCTAGTCGCCCTTAACTAAGGATGGGCTCCGAGCCCCTCGGTGGGGACGTATAGTGAGCTGATGATGAATTAATTTCAATTATAAATCTTACTTTATTCTGACAATAAATATACATACAAACATATTTTTTAATGTGTTATTAATTGTACAATTTAGTCTGTAGAAGTGTTGGATGGATCTCTTTGATATTTGGCATAGATGGAGAAAGTAATCTGGAATAACACATTCTTCTAATTAATACATGCCATGTCATAAGCGCGATGGGCTCGCTGAACAAAGTAGAGTTGGCCAGTATGGGGCATATGGCAATATGGGGGTTGTGCGGCAGGCAGAAAACTCGCCCACGGAAAAAAAAAATTGTTATGGAACCGACAAAAGAGAAGAGAGACGCTCTGGATCTGCGGGAGCTACAAGCGATGGACTGGCAGATGAAGGCACAAGACAGGCGACTTTGGGGATCTCTTGTGTCGGAGCCCAAGATTTCCCTTTGGGTCGCTGCGCCAGCGGACCAGCGGAGTAAGTAAGTATGTCATAAGCAGGCTTTATAACAATCACTAACTAAAATGATTTGGTTTTACATGACATCTCACAAATATTTGTAGGGGGATATCGTTTATATATTACGAACAAATGTATGAATATAATTCTCTTCTGTTTATATCTACATTATATAGGAAGCGGTAAATAATACATAAATAATATTTATTCAATATCTATTTATAATTATCAATAAATCTTTGAACCGTTGCAAAATACAATTAACATTTGTCGATAGGATAATATTACGTATTTATATGTAAGCGCTGTCCTTGTGGCCATGTTCATAAGCTTTAGCGGAGGCGTCAGCGGACGCGGCGGCGGACGTGCTGGCTGAATATCCAAACTTATGATTTCTTGTTCTATAATTGTTCTCGTTTTCGTAGGTTTGAGGATATTTTCTGCAAAATATATAATAAATAAATTTTTAGTTTTTCCCTAATTCACCTAGAATGAATATTCTCTTTTGAAAAAAAAATATTTTAACCAAATTTACGAGAAAGTCATATGTAATATTGATTTGTGAAGTAAAGTGTATTTTTCAAGGAAACAATAACTTAAATTAGTGTCAAATTATCGAGAATAGACTGTAATTAATTAGTTAGAAGCTTACCTACTTTTTCCGTTTAAAAATAATACCAACCTGATATTTACGCTTTCATCGCAGCTACGCGTTTCCCCACTGACACTGGCGTCTTTCTCGTTGCTTTTGTCCTCATAATCTCCGTCTCCTATTTCATAACCGCTTTTTTCATAGCCCCCTGACTTTTCTGAATATAAGCACAATGGATTTTTCCTAATACTTTCAGATTTAATCTTATTTATTTTGAATTACATGAACTTGATCATAATTTAAGATTTCAGAGGTCATTTAAATTATAGCGAAGCTAACATTTTTGAATTTCTTGATACTTGTAAATAAGTATAACATTTATATCAGACAATATTACTTTTTTTTAGTTTGAATAAACTATTTTAATCCATAGTTTATTATATTTATTGTATTTTATATTATGTTGGTGTAACCAATGTTTGAAAATTAATTTTAGACCACGACAACAATGGACTCACGAGGAAAAACACATAAAATTGTAGTGCAAATTAAACTTACCCTGATTTGCTACGACGTAAGCTATTAACATCACAGCAAGAGTCAAAGAGATGATTTTTTTCGTCATTTTGGCAGACTAATGTACTGATGATTACAAACTGATCTTTTATAGAATCAATGGCAGGATGGACCCGTCACATCAAATCAATGTTTTGTACAGTCGCGGTCACATGTCGCATTTTCGTTTGAAATGCGTGACAAGGTCATACGTAACGGCTGATTGTTGAAAAGATGGATGGATTGTTTGAAAGTTAATATGATTATGAAAAAGGTAACGAATGTGATATATAAACACAGCTAAGTTTAGCCATGTTTATATATCAGTTTAGTATAATGTCTCACAAAAGTTTGATTAATTTAGGTTACGAATGTAATGAAGAATTATAGATCGATGAAAACGACAAGATAAAAGGACAAGGACAGAAGATCATTATCTAATATCATCAAGAATTATCTTACGTCAGTATCCCACAAAAAGGCATCAAGGAATACTTGGCGCAATCTCAACAAACGTGTTTAAATAAATACATAAATATAACTCTCAGAAAACTTTATCATAATTTTATAATACATGAATACTTTAAAAAATAAAAAATTAAATGCAGTTTATGGAACAAAAACAATATAAATTACAGTAACAAAAGATATCAATTAAAAGGAGATTTTTTTTCTTTGCGGAAACATGTTATACATTTATGTAACACGACTTGTCGTAGGCTTTCACTGATTGTCACCCTCCGTATTTCCTTAAACAAATATTATTGATGGTACGACTGTAACTTCGATATCATGAAATTAAACGTTTTATTTCATATTTAACTAAGTATGTTTAATTTTTTAAAATCGTTATAAAATGTTAATTGTATTTGTACACAAAAGATGATTGAATGTGTATCTTGATTTAGTAACGACCTTGTTGCTGTAATCATTGTAATTTACGATCCGGGAAAATATAAACAAAAGTATAAACTTTATAATATTCGTTCGTATATAGCAGTCTTTCCCAAATTGGGCGATAACGCCCCCTTGTGGGCGCTGCAGGTTTCAAGTTGCGGGTTATAGTAAAAGTTTCGTTTAGAATTCTCCGTTAATATACATATATGTCACAATAATTAATTAATTTAATTTGAAGTTATAGTGGTTTTTAAATATGTGAAAATATGGGAGCGCTAAAAATATTTATTCTCAAAGTGGGCAGTAGACAAAATAAGTTTGGGTACCACTGGTATATAGTATAATTTTTTATTAGATAGCGAGTATCTAATTTGCTGTGTGCTAATCATTTTGTAGTGTTTATTACTTTTTATACCGATCATACATCGTCTAATCTCAGCTGAGTTTGTAGATCAGGTTCGTGCAAAATGTGCAATTAGTTTTTTTATAACATGGTAAGCGAGCAAGCGTCTACCAAAATTAGTCGAAATAGCGAAGCGACCGTTTCCTGTAGACATCTGCAATTTATTAATTATTTGACGGGGGAAGGGGACACGCAAAAAGAGAATATCTATAAAATCCACTTCTTCTTCCCATCCTTTTCTTGTAAAAAAAAGGAACGCCAATTTGGCCTCCGGCACGCACACTCGTCATACGAAACGCGGAATGACTTCCACTTCACATCTGTTTTTATGGTCGTGATATTTCACTGGCAGAAACAAATGATATTGTTGCTGGCACCTACCACTGAAAGTTAGCGTCACTCTATTCAGGGTTTATAAACAACTAGCTGTCGCCCGCGACTCCATCCGCGTGTAATTACAAAAAACCCCTAATAAGTAACCATGTGTTCTTATAGACTATGTTCTATAAATGTGCCAAATTATAATATATCAAAATCCGTTGAGCCGTTCCAGAGATACCTTCAAACATACATCAATCCATCCATCCATCCATCCATCCATCCAAACATTCGCATTTATAATATTAGTAAGATAGAGTGGTAACTTGTAACGTAATGATATTATGATCTTTAATCATGAATGTTACCTCAGTAATTTTCATATTCATGATAAGTTTTCAAACGAGCAAGCAATTCAGGGTAATAAGTTAGTTCAAGTATGTTGCAAAAAGTTTTCCGTGCTTGCATGCGTTTGAAAAATTAAGGAAAGAAATAAAAAGCTATAAGTTGGCGCATAATCACCAACAGAGGGCGCAAAATAATATTATTTAATTTTTATATTAAAAGGTTAATATAAACATTAGGGTAGGCTCCGAGCCCCTCGGTGGGGACGTATAGTGAGCTGATGATGATAAAAATTAGAAGATCGCGAGGAAGACCTGTGCTTATTTATTAATCACGTTTAAAAATAAAACTCACTCACGTGTACATATATGTTTTGCTGCTTTACTTTGTTTATTATCTTGTTACTATTATAAAGCATATTCTTGATTTTTCATTCGAAGTATAACAAAAAAAGAGGCGTTAAGTTGTTAATATTTTTTCGCAGAAAGAAAATTGCCAGGCATTTTTGACATTGCTATGTGCTTGACGCTATTTTCAATTTTTTTTTAAATTTCAAAGTATATTAGAATGTCTGTAATTTTAATATTATGTTATTTAAAGATAATAAAAACTTAAAATGAATTTACCAGACATTAATTCGATTGTTAAACCTTGTATTAAAATTAAAAAGCCATGAAAAGTTTTTCAGTATAACTTAAATTAATGCAGTAAACTTGGTATTTATAAAATACTACACATAATAATAGAATGATTTTTTTAACTATTTTAATATGTTATTTTTACATACATAATTATGTTTAACAAATATACTGGGTATTATCACATTCAGAATTGTCGAACCACGCTGCAGATGGTGAGCCAGCGCTGGATTTTGGTAACTTCAGTTTAACGACTGAAACAAAAAGAAACACAAAAATTTAATATGTGGTTAAGGTCGTAGCATTTAGAAACTTTTTATTATATGTTTTGTACAAAATTTAAATAAAGAAGAATTGAGAGGCTTACCCGTAACCGCCCTTGTGACTGCCGTATCCGCCGGCTGCGGCGTTAGCGGTTGCACTCGCACCGGCGCTGGAGCTGCTGTAGCCGCCGCCGTGACTGCCGTGACCACCGTGA